CACGAGGGACGTGCCCTGAACCTGCCGCCGAAGGGGCAGCATGGCTGAGTTTCCCCTCTCGGTCCTGCGAAGGCAGGAGTTGCTCCTGTAATTGAGGCAGAGACTCTCTGATTCTTTCTCTAGTGCCTCTTGAGTGTTTAGGGTTTCCACCAACTCCAGATTCACCCCAGACTCTGTGAACACAGACTTCATCTCCATTCCAAGTCAGAGATCCCAAAACTGCATTGTGTGCAGGAATTGCCTCCTCAGGCAGACAAAACACACAACTGCCCATTGCATGGGAATCATGGAGACTTTGCAGGAGAAGTTGAGCGCAGGGAGAGATCACCCTGTGGACCCTCCACTCTGAGCTTTTGTCCCCTCCTTGGGACTTGATTGCTTTGCTGCCACCACATTAGCCTCCAGGGATGCAGATTCTCCTCTCACTGGCTCCAACACAATAAAACAAAAGCCATTTATTCATTTAACAAATAATTGTTGGGCATATAATGTCTGCCAAGTACCTGGCTAGATGTGGATTCAAAGGAGCCAGTGAAGTAACGTAAAATACTTACAACAGTGTCTAATATAAAGAAATGTTAGCTACTTGTATTCTCAAACTCACCCCCATATTGATTATAACAAGGCTTTCCATTTAAAAAAACTCTGCCCCCAAATGCAAGAAAAGGGGAAATATTTTGCCTCCACTGCGTGAAGCCCTAATGACAGGTCCACTTCACTCTCCAAGTACAGACCTGTCTCTCCTGGACTCTATGTTGCTATAGGAAAAACTCATTGAAACAAAGGAATGAAACACACAAGATACAATGTTTTTAAAAACTTTTTTAATGAAGAAATAATTCCATTCCAAAATATAGACACATAATTAAATAGCTTAATCACTTCAAAATATAACATGTCCCCAGGAGGTTCCAACACACACACACACACACACACACACACACACACACACACACACACACACACAACAGTACTTAACAGCAATACAAATCATACAGTAGTTTTGTTACAATACCAATGAGTATCGTGAAATCTTTAGTGTCTTTGACTTAGTTCAAATGGTGTCAAATTACAGTAGTCAGAACTAAAAATGTCTCTTACAGTTAATTAGCCTCAACATGTAATGCTTCTGATTTTTTTCCTCTTTTTGGTTCAAAAGTAATAATGCCCCTTCTTCTGAGGACACAGTGGGGTTTTTTAGTGGCTCCTTGCGCAGAATAGAACCAAGGTGACTGCAGTGTCTGGAGGCTGCTGTGCATACGTTATCTACAGTTAACAGCCAAGAACTAGTGAGGGAGGAAAGATGATCAAAATTAAAGCAGACATCACTGCTAAATTATGATGCAACAGTTTGGCTCATGCATATCAGAAAACACACAGTATATCACAAGGCCACACGCTTATGCAATTCAGTTCACATCACTACTTACAGATGAACCTTCCTGCCTTGTAGTAGGGCATTCGAGAATCCATTTTCCACGATCTCCAGCACGTCTCTCTCTGACCAAACTTACCCCAACTTGCGTCTTGACCAACCACAACTGATTCCTGAATCCCACAAAGTAGATTTCGCCCTCCTCCCTCCCTCCACGAACATGGCACTGTGGGGGGGCTGTGTTAGACCGGTGCTCATTAACAGACCATCATCGCTGATGGAGGTGGGGGTGCAACTCGTCGTGGAACAAGAAAGAAACGACCCTGCAAGATATTTCTGTATCTAGTGGGCAGGACAGGTGAAGCTGCCGGCTGGTACTTAGAACAGACCCCAGAAGTAAATCTGGAGTGTCAAGGAAAGAAACCCACCAAAAAACACAAAAGCCCAAAACAACACACGCCATTTTGCCTCGGGCACAGGACGGGGGCACTCGAATCTGGTCTCAGTGCTGCCGCGGAGCTAAGGGAAAGAAAAGGTGGCTGGTTAGTCAGCAGTTGGTCCCTGGCAGCAGTCTCCAGAGTCCCTGCAATGGCTCTGTGTGATGGAGTGAACAACTGTGAGACGGACCTGCTAGGGATGCCGGGACGAGGGGACAGTCCAGCCCTTACACCACATCCTGATGGAGAAACAGAGTGACAGCGGCTGTCAGCTCAGCCTAGTCAGTGGCTGAATGCCACTTGCAGGGTCAGAGTTCCAAGCTCAGGAACCACCAGGCTAAGATTGAGAGCTGACAGCCATGTGGGCAGCTGGGACGTAGTGGTTTAAGCACTGGGTAGGAGGCACAGGGGCACATGTCCCACCTAGAGAGGTTGGTCTCACAAAGGGTGGGCAGGGGAAGGAGATGGACATTAAGATACACCAATAAACTCACAAAGACATCTGTCTGCATGAGGAATTAAGTGCATCAGCGGACAGAATGGGCTCCTTACTAATGCCAGCCAAGCATTTCACTATCCCACAGGCAAGCAATTTTGTTCCGAAGGGCGGCCAGAGATGGTTATGGCCAAATCCAGCACACAAGCCTCTTAGAGCCCTCTGGAGAGGGAGATGTCAGGTGTCTGTTCTGGGCAGGACACCCCCAACTGCCGACTCTGTGCACAGGAAAGGGTTTTGCCAGCCCTGGAAGCAAAATCGAGTCCCTGAGGCTGTGAGCTGGACCCAGGACCTGTCTTGCCTACTCCCAGCAAGGCCTCTTCAGAGATTTTATGATGCCACGGTGTTCTAAAGCAGCGGTTCTCAATCTCCAGCTTCATCAGGGGTCACCCAGAGGACTTGTTAAAACATGAGTGCTGGCCTCACCTCCAGAGTTTCTGAGGAGGAGGCCTGGGTCGGGGCCTAAGAACCTGCATTTTTAAATACATTTCCAGGAGACAGTGATGCTATCAGTTACTGGTCCAGGGAACACACTTTGAGAACCACTTTTCTAAAATGAACTTCTCTTCTTTCTTTTAAAGGAGAATCAGAAATTCCAGAGAAGCTGCCAATTTAAGTATAATGTAATATGCTGCAGGATTTTTATTCGATCAAATCTTGAAACAAGTAGATCATTTTTTCATTTCCCTGGAATCCCTAAGGGAATTCTTAGCACTCCCCAAAGAGGGCCCTCAGCAGTATTCCATTCACCCTTCTTGTGCAAAATCCCAACTCAGAAGAGCCTGTTTCCTCTCTCATGACCCCAGAAGGCTGCATGCAGAACACCAGGTGGCTGGTAAGGCAACAGACATTTAGGATGACAGGAGAGCGGAGGCTTGCAGAGCACCCCAAGCCTGTACGTGTGAAGCGGAAGGCCTCAGACAGCCTGATGAGGGGGCTTGCGGATTGGCAGCACTGTTACAGACATGCTCCCTAAAGCTACAAGGAGAGGAACCAGCCCACGGAAGAGCAGAGATAACGAGTCCATCTGGGGATCTTATGGCACCTGTGGTTTATAAACAGCTTTAGTCACAAGTATTTCAAAACATAGTTCACAGTTTTTAAGAAGATCTGTGGTTTTAAAAACTAGATTCTATATAATTTGAGTGTTTCCTTTTTTGAATATGATATCTATTTGGAAAAATATTTACACTAAATTCTATGCCTGATTCATAAGAGTATCTTGAAAGAAAACAACCCAAATTGTAAAGAAGCCCCAGAGACTGGATCATCCTGGAGTGCCTGGTCAGTCACTGCCCAGAGACTCCAGGATGGGGGCAGCCCGTGCAGGCCTCTGGGGTCTGAGTCTGTACCCTCAGGAACCAAATCCTCGGGGTTGGTGAAAAATTGCAAGTGGTTGCTTTTTCCTAACTGTTGTGGAAAAAATGTACAGTGTATAATAAACTGTTTTGCTAAAATCTCACAGAATTCAGAAATCAAGCCTCTAGCAATAAACAATGTTAATATTGTTACTGTAAACTGAACTGGTTCAATATCATGTGCAAAGGTTTAGAATGCTTGTTAACACTGCCATGGGGAGAGCGGTGGCCCGGGCTTGCAGCCCGCCATTTAGTCTGGCTCGGTGTTCTGTTCTCACCAGGGATGAGCCGCAGCACAGAAGATGCAGCTGGTAAGTGGGCTTTGAACAGAAGCCTCTTTTTCTGTCTCCAAATCTTAGAACAGAAAGTTATGTGCCTCAGCAGGGCACAGTTCCTGGGGTGGGGGTCTGCCGGGGGCTGCTGGGGGGGGTCCCTCTTGTGTAGCTGCTGCCCGGCTGCCATCCCCTCTGTGCGGGCAGCTCAGCGTGCTCCTTCCACAGCGGCTTTCAAGTTTCTGTTATCATCTGTCTGACTATAGCTTTTCTGGGAATAAGGAATGTGTAATTTTGTTTAAAGATGAAAACTGCTCTCTAAATTAGGGTTATGAAGCTCAGGTTCCCCCCACTCCCCCGACACACACACATTCTCTCTCTCCTTCCTTCCTCTGGTGATCAGGAATGAGCACCCCGGGAATGTCCATGCAACTCCTTTGGAAGGAGATGGAGGGGTCCTCTGTGTCGAGTCTCTTGCTTGATGCTACTACCTGAGGCATCTGGAGGGTTAAAGCCATGCAAACAGAAATACCTGTGCTGTGCCTGACAAGCAGATGAGACCACTGACCCGTTTTCAGAATGCCATGCTAAGTAAAAAAAAAATCCACTTTTGATTGTCCAATCTCCCAATTTCTGAAGGTCAGATGTGACCAGAGGGATGGAAAAGGGACAAATCCCAGATACTGAGTGGGTCAAAATGGAATTTTGGTGGACTCTTAAATTGAGTGTTAACTACCACATGCTATATTTCCAAAGTGGCTAACTGCAAAGCATAAAGCAGGCTTTACTCTTCTCACTCTTGTTAGTGTGTTGATAATGCATGTTTAACTTCGAACAGGCCTGAAGCTCTTCCTGTACAGCACAGGCATTCTATGTCTGAGTCTCCAGTGTCCTGCTTATGGCCCCTGACCCACGGACGGCTCTCCCTTGTGCATGCCTAAACGACTTCAAGCCAATGAAGCTGGCTTCCGTGCCCTTGGATCAGGGGTGTATACACTTCGGGATAATTTCTGGTCTTGCAGTACAGTTAGAAAGTCCGAACAAATAGATTTCAACAGCATATACTGTTCCAAAATTTCAGCTATATTTCTTGGATGCGTCAAGAAAATCAAAGCTGCAAAGATGAAAAACCACTGATTTCTGAAGCACTCAATCAGATTTTAAATGAGTTTTGCCTAAGTGGCCCTCTAGGGACAGCCCGGTTCATGTTAAAAGTCTTGCAAAATGCCAGGCAGGCAGGCACACAGTCAGTAAATGGCAGAAGCCACACTGTTTTGATTTTTCACTGCCAGATTTGCAGCAAAAGATTAAAAATTGGCCTAAGGATTTTCAGAGGACTGATGTCTCTGGGTTTTAGGTCCAAGAACCAAAAGCTGCTTCTTATCTGGGTTTATGTCAAGGACGTTTTATTAGGCTTTTTAAAAATTGTGTTTTTCTAAGAACTAATTACTGATGTTTAAATAACATACAGAACAAAAATGATCAAATTGCTGGAGCTGAGAAAATGCTATTAAAGGAAAAGTCTTGCTCCTTTGGGATTTGCTATGACTGGAGTGAATTTTTCAGAAACAGCCCCTGGGAATGTTCCCCTGTAGTCACAGAGAGTCGGGTAGCATTCTCAAGTCCCAGGGAGGGGACAGAGAACGTGGCAGTAAGACCCTCCCTTTCATACCAGAAGGACCGTACTGCTCCTAAAATATATTTTGTAACAGCAATCATGCCATAACTTTTATGGGCTTGATCTTCCCTTGAGGCCTGGGACACGAGGCTTGGGCTGGAAGGCATCTTTGCCAGTTGACATGTCATTTAGGAGACGGACATCCCTTTTTAATTTACCAGCCGGAGTTGAGTTTACTCCAACTGCACTACAAATTATGGGATCCCATGGTCAGGAAGGACTGTATGACTAACGTAGACATGAGGGCCTGGGGCTGTGCAGCCAGATGACCATGAGAGGTGCACATTAGCTCTGGACTGAATGGGGGAACACCTAAGTGGCCCTCAGCTGGAGCCTGAGGAACCGTCTAGTCTTTCGGACCAGTTCAGCTGACGCCAATCAAATCACTGCATGTAGCTGAATCCCGGCCTTTTTATGAAACAGGGAGAGCAAGCTTGTTCCAAGTGCCATGGTGATGCCAAGCAGCACCAAGGACCGTGCCTCTTGTGGAGTACCACGCAGTGCCAGGTGTGTATGCATGCGACCACAATAAATCATGGGGCATCTGCTGCCGCGTTAAGCTCTTTAAGAACTATGCCCCACTGAGAACAAGTCCTCTGTGAGGCAGGCATTAAAACACACACTGTAGAAAGAATGTACTCGTAGAGTTTGAATCATCTGTCCAGATTTGCTGCGATCATAGCAATCATATTTGGGGCAGGTCTATTGAGTCCAGAGCTTCAGTTTCAAACCACTACACTCAGGTGACTGCTGGACAAGTGGACTTCTCTGCACATTGAATACATCACAGAGGGCTTCCAGGCATGTAGGCAGATCCTTGGGGGTGAGGATCACATGCCTCATAAATGATACTTGAAATTAAGTTCACAATGGACTTGAAACAGCTGTTTCCAAAATATAAGGCTGCAGAAGTTTCTTCTATGCCCCACTTCTTCAGTTTTCTTTAAAAGTACATGGTTTTGCTTCCAGCAGGTAAGGCCTATGCCTTGGAGCTTCTGGGTTGTGAGTACAGTGGGACCCGGGACTGACCCATCTAAGGAAGCCGAGCAGCCTGCATCTTTCCTTCCTGGTGACAAAGGCTAAGACGGATGCTCCTGTGGGTTGGTGCTGTGGCTTCACAGCCACAGAAGCTCTCTGGAGTGTCTCTGGTGCTACAGAAGTTTTTGTGCCAATTTTCCTAATTAACAGAGCATAAAGTGAACTCCCAGGGTTGTATGCCAAATGTCCACTGAACTATAAAGAAATGTTCCATAGCCTGGCATGTTCTTCCATATCAACAGGGAAGGAGGCTATCCTGATACATAGAAACACTGAAGAGAGCAAGTGATTGTGAATTTAGGTTACAAGTCATCAGAATTCAGTGTACAGTGGCCACGTTTCCTCCTGAATAGGAGGGTACTTACTTGAGAGGAGAGTGGTAAAAGGATATTGTATTCAGCCCTGCAAGCTGACCTGTGGGTGACAAAGGACACAAACGAGAAAGGTGACACGTCAGGTGTGGATGCAGTCAAGCTGGTGAATCATTTGGCTGGAAGCCATGCAGAAAGACAGAGAGAGTCCAATGAGTGAAAACAGCATTCTGAGCCATCAAACAGACTGTGCTCACAGAGCAAGGAAAACCACTTCAGTGCTCCCCAGGGCATGCGTCCTGAGAGGGTACGCAGGCCCACTGTGTACTCCTAGCCCTTTTTCTCTGTCTTTCCCTTGAAGCCACAGGTACGCGAAGGAATGGAGAGAGAGGAGCTTACAAAGGGTGGCAGAACTCCAAAGACCTTAAGATATTAGTAGGATTTTCCTCCATTTTACTCAGACAAGATTAACTTGCTAATTCACCCAAGTAAATAACAATCTAATATTTTATATGAAATGAGTTCCTCCCTTTAAAAAAGAACAACCAGAATTTCACTTACTGTTGTCACCAAAATCCAGAAACCGGTCTGGGCTCAAAGAGGGAGGCCTCACAGTCCTGTCTAACGTGCGAACTGGGGCGTGGACTATTTAACCATGTCCTCCTCCCTCGCAGAGGGGCAAATGGCGCAGGAGCAGGCCTGCCATGCTCGGAGCTCCAGAGACCCTGGCAGCTCCAGGCAGGCTTGTGCCCATCTGTGGATGGGCCCCAGGAGGCACACTTTCTGGGGGCACCACTGCAGCGAGTCCCATGGCACAGAGACGTGGCTCCATGTGCCCAGTTTAAGGTCCTTCCTTTCAACATGACTAGACCTACATTTTAGTTGCTTCTGAAATAGGGTGGTTAAGCTAAAAAGGCTAATGGAACATTCCAGGGACAAAGTTTGTGTTTTATCCTGGCAGGGTGAGGGTAGGGGCTGGTGGGCTTCAGTTTCCCCTCTTGCTGCATTCTTCTTGGGAAAAGAGTTCCAAACTTAATCTGTAAGCATATGTGAAGTGGAAGGTAATTTACTCTCCTAACAGGGTAAGAGAGGGTCACTGCTGATCTCGCAGTGCAGATACGAACGGCCCTCAGACAGAAGGCCTCACGTGACGAATAACCCACTGGGGACAGGGGCAGAAAGTCTCAGCCAGGCAAATGTCCCTGAACTCTGAGAACCCCCAGAAGCCCCTGTGGATTACAGGGGAGGGAAACGAACGAGAAAGGAAACTTGGCTATACAACGATCTGTGAAAAACGCATCCGTTTCTGCGCTTTACCAATGTTCATTCCAGCTGCGTGGGGCTTTCAGTGACTTCTCAGGAGGGTCAATGTGATCTGCCCACCCACCCCTGCTGAGTGTGGGGCCTACAGTTCCCCAGCCCCTCCTGCACGTTCCTTCTTGCTTGTGACTGGGGCGGGCAGCGGGGTCCGAGGACAGTGGTTCAAAGGGGTGATATATTAACATTTATTCAGTTTCCTGTGCCTTTTGTCTTCTACACCTTTTTTTAAACTCTTTGGAAAAAGTGTCTTTCTAATACCTTGGAGAAGTAAGGAGTGTCAGTGTCCATGTTTCTGCTGACCAGCAAGGCCGCTTCCCACTTTCTAGGTCAGAATTTTTAAGAATGCACGGTAAGTGGCAGCTCTAAGAAGTATTTAAAATTTGTACTGTCTGGAATACAAGGACTAAGGAGCAATCAGAATATTCTGGAAAGGGAGGTGGGAGGAGGGAGACGCAGCTCCAGCGGGCCCGGACCGCGGGATGGGCGGCAGGCCTGGCTCCGCGTACCTGGCAGGTGTCGTCCTGAAGCTCCCGCCTCAGGTACTCCTCCATCTGGAGCTCATCCTCTAGCTGCTGGGCAGAGTTGTGCTCATAGCTCTCACCCTCTGGCTGCGCACAGGTGTCCCCGTCTTCTGTCGCCCTGGGAATAAACACTGGTGGTTTGGAGCAGATCCTCAAAGGAAACTGAGCAGACTGCGCATGTCAGCTGTTGTGGGGCACGTTTCCTCGGTCCTCCAACCTGCTTCTTTGCTTGGGTTCAGTGTCTTCTTTTACCTAACAGAAAACTAAAAGAACTTGGGAGTTTGGAGAAACACCTGACCAAGGTACTGTTACGTGTGACCCTTCTGTGGCAGTCTGGTGATCGCTGGTGATGCATGTTTTCCTAGGGTTTACAGGAATGAGTTGTCCTTTAAATGGTCATCATCTTAATAAAGGAAGGCTAGTCTTTTTGGAGGATATAGGTTTTCCAATCTGGGAGCTTTTTTAAAAAATGGAATCCAAGAACACTTTCTATAAGGAAAGTGAGCCCTCTAGTGAAATAATGATTTTGTTTAAAATTGAATCCTCTGTGTTATGCACATTATAGGCAAATGCACCCTATATGCCTATATAAAAATGTGCTTCATTTTTATGGCACCATTAAGTCTCAGAATAGCAGCTAATTGATGTCAGAAAGGCGAATACACTAACTCATAGCTCTTGATCTTAAAAATGTGTACTACTTCTTAATCTAAGAAATCCATTTAAATTGTCCAGTTCCATGTGAAATAAATGTATACGGTGACCTCATTCACTAATGTGTGACTATCTCCATCTATTCATCCCAGTGTATATAAAACTCTTCCTGCAACTGAATCTAAATCTACTACCTAAATCATATGAGCAAACTATCTTCAGGGTAAAAGCAGTACATGTCTAGATAGTACAGATATTAAAATATCCCCTAAAATGAAAACAGTGGTCAAGTAGAAGTTTCTGGGTTGGAACTTAAATGCCACTGTTCTTGTCTATTTATATCTGTACGACATGTTCTCGTTATTTTTAGTGGTTTGGGGCCAGCCTAAATAGGTCTGCCAGGCCTCCGTTTCCTGAACCCAATCCCGCAGCCATGCTGGCAGCTAGAATGGCCTCTAGCGCCTTGGACAGCAGAGTGGGCTGGCTTCAGCTACAGTCTTGGATCTTAGGATTTCAACAAGGAAATTTTAGGGACCCATGTGTAAATGCTTAATTATAAAAAGTCAAATAGATATGAATTTACCAGACTAAATTGATAACAAGTAATTAGCCATTTTGAATAACAAATCAAATAATTCTAAATTAGAGGAAGGGACAAGAAAGCAAACTGAAAGTAAAGCGGCAGCTTATTGCCATTTTCACTGTTATAACTGTTTCGTTTGGATCTTCTGCTGTTTTTTCACAGCTGGCTTTCTAACCACGCATTCACAAGTCCCCATCATCACAGCCTTGTACTCACTAGGCCTGAGAGCAACACCAGGAAGGCGTTTCTGGGCCCTTAGAACAGCCGCTTATCTCTGGGGACTTGCCAGCAGTACTTCCGGTGAGCCGCCGTCGCCCTTCTGTGGCTCTCGGGGCTCAGTGAGCACCTTCCGGCCTCCGAGAGCCTCTGCACAGGTCTCATGGCCCCGGGTCTTGCTCTCCTGAAGGCCCACTGCTGCCTCCCTTTAAAGCTTAACTCTTTTCCCTCCCAAGCTGGGCTCTGCAGGTCTATCCTAGCTTAGCCTTCGTCCCTCAGCTTTGGTGTTCGACGCCTGGCTGCTTTTTGCTGACCGAGGGTTACAGCAAGTCTACTGGGGACACCACCGACTCCAAGGCTTCTGTCAAGCTCTAGAAGCCTAACTGGATGGAAACCTCTGCAAAATGTCTTTTCAGGGTCAGATTTCTACACATTCAACAAGTCGGCCAAATCTGATTCCTTTATAATGTGATGTTATACATTTACTTATTTTGGTTCCAAGTGCTGTAGGATGCTATTTACACCCCTTTACAGAGGCCTTTCCAGCATCAGCAGGCCCCTCAAGAACAAGGTGAAGTCAGAAGGTAGGATGGCTTATCTCCTGAACTAGTCTGTGGGTCTTGGAAGGCTGGAGCAATTTCTCGTACTATTTTGCATACAACTAGCATGTGCGGGGGTGAACCAGGCCCTCGACAGGTGCTGCTCGGTTCTGGTCACTGACACTCAAGAAATTACAAGGGGAAATGTCACAACACTAAATTTAAATGGAGCACCCTCCACTGCTGCTGGCAGGAAAAGGACATTGTCTCACACTCTCCAAAATAATGAGCCAAGCAAGCATGTGTGTATTTTCCACGGCTCCTGGGGGCTGTTCTGTTGCTGAGAAAATACCTCCAAGAAGATACTGACACGTCGCTGCGTGCGCTGGCCGGGGTCACTCCGCCGTGAAGGTACCCAGGCTTTTGGGCGTGGATTTGTGCTAGAAAGGCCTTCTCAGAGGTTGGCGAGGGAACCAGATCCTCAAACTGAGTCCGTGCAAATTCAGAATCCACATTACTCTCGGTTTCACTCCCCACCCCTAGCAGGTATAATTGAAGAAATAAAGACTTAAGACTTTCTGATCAGCAAATAAAGGGCTCAACATAAATCAGCTTGTACTGCATAAAACATCAACCAGTTATTGCACATTAAATCAAGTGTTTTTTTTTTCAAAATGAGAATGGATGCTGACATGGATTACTATAAAATCATCAGTATATAATATTGTCTTTGTATCTCAATAGTGTTATGAGGAATCCTTGTGTCTTAGTAACTGACTTAATTCCTCAAAACTGCTTTAACTTCTCTATAAAGGCCTTTAGTAAAACTATTGTTATTTTTGTTTAATATTACTTTAACTGAGGAAATACAAAGCTTAAATATTACATATGCTAATATTTCAAAGTGTTATAAGAGTATAAACTAATAGTACTTGAGACATCCACAGTGAGAATCCCATTTTGAGCCATTACAGTGAACCCTGGAACACAGGTTTTGATTGTGCGGGGCCACTTATATGCAGGTTTTTTTTCAGTGAATGTATTGAAAATTTTTGGAGATTTGCAACAATTTGAAAAGATATTCTCTTTTATCTAGCTTACTTTAAGAATACAGTATATAAAAATAAAGCATACAAAATATGTGTTGATTGTTTATGTTATGGGTAAGGCTTCCAGTCAGCAGTAGGCTATCAATAAAGTTTTGGGGGAGTCAACACTTACATGTGGATATTTGACTACATTAGGGGGTCAACACCCCTAACTGCCACATTGTCCAGGAGTCAACTGTATTCTCTAGGACAGTTGGTACATGCCGTTAATCATGATGTATTAACTACTGTCATTTTTATCCTGTTTGGTTATCTTAATCTAAAATAGTAGCAACAATTTTCATTACTTTAAGTAGTATTATTATAGTGGCTTTAAGTAATTTAAATCCAGATTTGTCTTAATATTTAGGTTTTATTTCTTACAGGTGTTATAATCTCAAGTGTAGACCATAGTCCTGACAGACAAATATCTAGCTAGTTGGACTATAAGGAATAGTTGAGATGTATTAGTAACTGGTAATATATTTATTTCCATATTCATGCTGATACAGTTTTAAATATCATTAGAATAAAGAGTCTCTTGCAATTTTTTGCTCTTTATTTTCTGGGCTGATCTTTCTTTAGAGATAGTACAAAGGCAAATTTCAGTTTAGCCTCATTCAAATAGCCATGAATTCCAAATTTTAACAGAGTCTAAATCAATGAATAAAACATTTGACCTTATAATAGAACTTCAGCATGATGTACGCTGGTAGTGGCTATCTATTTTCCTTTATTCTTTTCTGCATTTTTCACACTTTCTGAGCATGTATCAATAGTTTTCTCATCAGCAAAAAGATAAACAATACTAAAAAATCTGAATATATCAAGAAAACATCACACAGATCTTTAAAAAGTCTTTCTGTATTCAACAATGAACAGGTCTCTAACAGAGGTCCCAGCACTTATGGGTCCCTCTGTGAGGAGCAGACAAATGAGTTCAAGGACTCACCAGAATTCAGCTCTTTCACAAGAGAGGACATGGTGTTAGTGATAGAATCTGCTGCTACTAGTAAGTCATTCCTTAAATTTCTCCTTGAACCTTAAGAAGAAATGATAATTAAGAAAATCAAAGCTTTTCCTTTTTTCCAGGTTTTTATGCAGTTTATCTTTTCCATTGATACCTTAACACAAGAAAACTTCCAAGAACTCTCCTTTTTGTAAGTATTTTGGTCTGTTTTCAGAAAAAAAATACATTGTCTTGGGGCAGTGGACTCTGCTATAAGAAGACAGGGTCTGTATAATTTATTGTCCAAACTGGGACAATTCTGCAAGTAAAAGGAGGTGGTACTGCTAATGAGACTGGGTGACCTGGTGCAGACTGTGCACTGAAGGCCCCCAGTGTGGGACAGGCATGAAGATTCTTGCTCCTGCTACCAAGACATGGGCAGAAGATCCATGTCCCCGGAACTGGAGCACAGGCCATGCTTCTCTCCAGGAGGGAGAGACTACTGGGACGTTTCAGGCACACCAAGGGTTAGTGGGCATCTGTGGGCTGACCTGGGGGTGGGGCAAGGTGGAGATGGAGCAGAGGGCTAATCTCTATGACATCTTTGGAAAGAAAAGGGCTCAAGACACCAAACATCTGATTTTCTGATGAACTTATGCAGTGCGGGCCCCTTATGAACTAGAGGCTGCATATGGCTGCGCTTCATTCTGTCGTGTCTCAGAAAGCAAAACTAAGCAAAATAATAAATATGTGTCAAGTTAAAAACCATAGTTAGATAAAACATTGATTATAGTAGAAAGCTTAAATTGATTTAAAATACTGCCAATTTCTTTACAATAAGATTTAGGGAAAGGACTTTTCATTCTAAAATTTTTTTT